TGGTTGGCCTGGCCGTGCGTCACTCAGAAAACAACAGGCCAATCAGAAGAGAGGCTCATGAATATTAATTCGACAGGCCAAAATTGACCTGTTCTCAGCAGAGCTCCTGAGAAAGCTGTAAAAATATATTGAGATGGTTTTTGGTACTTATACCGCAAATATATATTCTTAAGGACATCAAAACCTCAAATAAAACTCCAGAAAGATGTAAAATATGGGACCTTTAAACGTTGTTTATCTTATTTGTATTTACTATACACTACCGTTCAAAAGTTTGGGGTTGGAAATTGGAATTTTTTTTATTCATCCAGATACCAGTTGCATAAACATAGACACTATGTTAAAACACTATGTCTTACAAACTAGTTTGACCAACTAACAGTTAGCCAAGGGGTAATCAGTCTTATTTTTTGGATTCACATTAGACCACTCTACATTTTTGTAACTGACTTTAAAAAGTTATGACCAGTCTTGAAGAAAAGAAATTAGATGACTAGTCTAAACAGTTTATGCAACCCGCCCCAGGATGTATTAAATTGACCAAAAGTGACAAAGATATATATAATGTTAAAGATTTCCATTTTTAAATATATGCTTATATTCTGTTGAACGTTCCATTTATCAAAGAATCCTGAAAAGAATGTATCATGATTTGCACAAAATTAAGATGTTTTCTGTTTCCAACACTGATAATAATAAGAAATGTTTAGTGAGCACCGAGTCATATTATTTGGGATCATGTGGTACTGAAGACTGGAGTACAATGAAAATTCAGCTTTGCCATCACAGGATGTAAAATGTAATTTATTGTGTAATTATAAATATTACTGTTTTATTGTATTTTTAAATAAATGCAGCCTTGATGAAAATAAGAGACTTCTTTCTTTTCTTTTCTTTTTTTTTGTGGAAAATAAGAATCTATCAGTACCTTCATCTCCTCCAGATTGGCAGGTAGTGTGCCTGCCTTGCGGTTGGAAAGGGTGCTGTTGGGCCGCACAGGTGTTGCTGTGGGCAGAGACACCACAATTGAGGCAGGAAGGCTGCTCGTGCTGCTGATAGCCACTGTGGCACTGCTGTTTTGGCCTTCTATCACAGGCCTGGTGAGTAGGGAACCAAATGGGAATAAAGGGGAGAAACAATACTTAACATCACAGAAGGAACAATTTGTTCTGCTCACCCTTGTTCTCAATAAATAAACACCATTGAACAATGCTGAGGCAGAAAACAAATGACAGTTAAAATAAATCTTCCACAAGAGATGGAAAAGGAAGCAGAGTAATAACCTCATCGACTTCCTGCCATTAATGAAAATCACTAAACAGGATGTGTTATTGGACAATAGGTAATGGTCCTGATGGCCACTGGCAACAATAATAGTGTTTTAAGACATTTTCCACCAAAAACCATTCATATGCAGCCAACTAATGGTTGACAAAATACGGCTAGCTTCAAAAGCAAAAGATGACCTTTGCCAAATTAGCCAAGACCAGTGCCAAATGGTTTGCATCCACTGAACTCAATGATAGGATTGGTAAAGCAGTACATACTGAAAACAACAGGGCCTGATACACAAATAACAAACACACAAATCCGGATCTCCTTGCTTACTTGAGAGGTGCAGGAAGGATGGTCTGGTAGTTGTAGTGCTGCTGTTGCTGTTGGCTCAGGATCTGTAGCTGCAAAAATAGCTGCTGCTGTTGTAGTAAACGAGCATATGAGGAGTCCATTGGGGCTTGGTTGGGTTCTTGTTTCTGGTCTGGTGGAATGTATTGATGATATTTTAACTTTTTCACACGTGGCTTGGCCTCCTTACTCTTCTTGCTGCGGCTCTTGTCCCCAGGTAACTTGGGCTGACTTTGCTGTGAATTGAACTGAGATTTCCCATTATGCATTACATTTAAATTAAGAGGATTTCATAAATTTTTGTTGTTTCTTCAGTTCTTTACTGACCTTTACAAGGGTGGGCCCAGACTTCACAGGGGGCAAGGTGACTAGCTGTGGTATGGGTGGTGGAGGGCTAACTGATTGCTCATTAGTAGAAAAAGGCATGAGGAAATCTGTTGAAGGGGTGGTCACTGCAGGAAAGTGCTGTGAAAAACTTGAATGACTAAATTCTGTTTTTTTGGCAACATGAGCTCTTAGTGTTTTGTCCCTGAAGTGAAAAGGAGGTGGCAGGACTACCTGTAACAGGTTATTAGGCAATGGTGAGGACTCTTCAATGGCCCGCACCTCCCCTGGTGAGGCTGCAGAACCCTGGGACTCCTGACTAGCTGGCTGCTCGGGTGAAAACGCATCTCCACTGTCCTCATCTGCCAGTTCCTCTAGAGTTCTAGGGTACTGCATCTGACCATCTACCCAGTTAACACAAAGGACAATATATCAAACTTTCAAGTCAATATATGTTCCACATGCATGTTTATTTAATACATTAATAATAGTTTGCATTTTCACCAATGATGGCCTCCTTGACGCTGGAGTCCACAGGCAGGATGTTCTTCTCCACCAGCTCCATGGGGCCGGGGCGTTGAGCGATCTTCTCATTTAGGTCATCAGCCAATCGAGCTCTCTTCAATCTCAGCTGAGTGGCCTGCAGAGAAGGCACCGCCACCGTCTCTGCCAACCCACCAAAAACCAGTGACAATCAGAACAGCAGTCATTTAAACCCACACCCCTCCTCAACCACCAAAACAATCACACAGTGGACAACTCAATCACAGAAGTAAATAATGGACAAGTACAGCATCTGGATGACTCTTTTGAGCATGTATTCTTCTTGCTTTTAATTAAGCTGTTCTGACTGGTTTAGCTGCTGCTGAACTAACTAACTTGAAGGCATAGTTTGGTAAAATTCATATTTTTATAATGTACCAAGTTAAGTCCACCTGTATCAGTGTTTTAGTGCTACTGAATGTATGTCTCTGCAGCTGAATCTTCAGCATCATGGCAAAATAAATCATGTTTTACCACATTTATGAATATAAGTTTGCAGTCTTTATTGAATCTGAAGTCATAAAAAGACTGTGTGCAGCAAAATAATGCCAAGAAATTCTATTAAAGGGTTAGTTCAACCAGAAATGTGAATTGTCATCAATTACTCATCCATGAGACTTTTGTTTTTCCTTCGAAACAATAATGAAGACATAATTAAAACCTGAAGGATTTCTGTACCTCTACTGAAAGTCCATTCCACCAAAAATTTGACACATCAAAAAAAGTTAATAGAAATTCATATGAATCAAGCTGTTTCACATATGAACACTGATCATCATACACACATCAGCATACACTGCACATCAGATATGGTCATCATATGTTCAACCATACTTGCTTTATATGCTAAAACAAGTTATTTTGGAAACTCAAAAACACAAACCTGACTGGTTTTCAAGTGACATGGTGCTTCCATTCACCATGTGTGTTGTGCTTTATGTATATGTGTGTTGATCAATGTTTGGTTCATCATGTAAAGTGATCATATCTCTTCAGAAGACTTGGAATAATCTGCTCATTTCATATGGATTACTTTGATGATGTCTGTTATTTTCTGATCTTCTGATGGGTCAAAGTTTTGATGAAATGGACTTTCAATGGATGGACAGAAATCTGTCTGGTTTCATTAAAAAATATCTTAATATTTGGGTGAACTAACATGTTTATGTTGTCCTTACAGGCAAACATAGCACGAACAGTGTAGTCTGATTCCCAGACAAATGGCTCTCACGTGTCAATTTTTTAAAATTAATAGTTAGTTACTGGTTTGAAACACTGCTCTGTATATTATATAAAACAGCATTAGCAGAGGGAAAATGTATTTACATATAAGAACAATGGATCAGAAATTACTCCCAAATGATTCAGAATGAACTCAAAATCAAACTGAATCAATAGTTTTGTATTTGAAATCGAATCAGAAAATCTGTATTGATGGCCAGGCCAGCTCTACTAACAAGTTTTGAGAGCTACAGCTACAGCTTTGTTTAGAAACAGTAGATTCAAAAAAACTTTTCCCAGGAGGCAGATTAGCTGCCATTACATGTATTGTGAATGGAGGATTACCTTGTAAGATGTGCATGCGGACCAACTCGGCCCTTTCTGGGCGGCTGCGTATTTTGTGCTTTAGGAAATTTTCGGTCTACAGAGAGAAAGGATACAGAGTTTTAGAAAACGGAATCCCTCTGTAATTCAGGGATCAGAAAGTAACCATTATTATGATCTCCTCTGTGCTTTGCAAATAACAAACACATTTACAGAAGGCTTAAGCTATTAAATCAACTGAGAGGTTCACATGTGTCCCATTACAGAGAGCTGGGCAACCCTGAAGAGATTTCAAGGAGGATCAGAGAGCCCAGATGGCTGAGGCAATTGGAGGAGGTCTGGGGCCTGGTGCCCTGCTCTTACCCTGGCTCTCTCAAGGCTGCGGATTTGTTCATGGAACGCTGCAGGGCTCTTCAGGGCTGTAAAGACACACACACACACACACACACACACACACACACACAAAAGCAGAGCATCAGTCTCATGAGGACACAAATTCATCACCCACACTTCAAACACACTCGGCTTTTTCATCTCCTGCAGTCTTTCTAAATGCTGTAGCGCCTGGTCTCACATATTACTCAGAGAGGAGATGGTGGGCCCACACAGAGATCAGTACACAGACTACATGGTACCCTTCAGGACCAGACAGCTACCTCTTAATTCCAGCAGAATCTATGCCTGATATTACACTGAGCTATGAGACAGCATGCAGTGTAATCCCATCAATCAGATCAGAGATGGCCAGAGGAAAAAAACAATGTACGTTTATGTAAGTGTGACAGATCTCACACACTGCTTGGTGACTTGGTTGAACGGAAAAGTGGTTATGAGCAATAACAGAATGAGCAATGGTGAGGAGAGAGGTGAGCGTTTTGGGAAAAAATACCACGTGCATTGGTCACCTTATGCCTGGTTGTGAACTATGCTGATGAGTGAGATTAAACAACTGATTCAAAAGCAGATGTGGTAAAGAAACCACAGCACCAACTGATTTCTTTTCTTAAACGCACATTAAAACAGCAAGGTATTTACATAAGGCAGCCTTAAGTGAGGGTTCGTTTTGTTTAGGGACATCAAAAATTAACACAAAGGATGTTACACTACCATTCAAAGGTTTGGGGTTGGTAAATGTTTTTTGTTTTGAGAGAAGTTTCTTATGCTCACCAAGTAGCATTTATTCGATTAAAAAATACAGCAAAAACAATAATAATGTGAAAAATTATTAGAATTTAAAATAATTGTTTTATTTTAAAGATTCAATTTTTAGTATATTTTAAAATCTAATTTATTCCTGAGGAAATCTTTTTTTTTTTTTTTTGTGGAAACCGTAATACATTATTCTCAGGGCTCTTTGATGAATGTTCAAAAGAACAGCATTTATTTGACATAGAAATTGCTTGTAACATTATAAATGTAATTACTTCTTAATGAAAAAATCTTAATGAAACCCAAAGTTTTGAACTGTAGCACATGTTGATTGGGAGCAAGATGTCACTTTAAATAATTTTAAATAATGTGAAATAACTTTTCACATTTACACAGAGGAATTATTATTCATTAAGTATGAGTTAGATATTCGTATAAAGTCCTGTTAAGTCAACATAACATTTATTGCACATTTCTGGTCTTGTGCATGATTTATTGGTTAGCTATTAAAAAAAAATAAATAAAAATGTCTTTGTAATTTTATTAAGATTTTGGAACTAGTATACTTTTCAGTCTCTCTTACTTTTTAACCCCTTCCCATTCAGTCGGCAAAATTGGCATTTCAGGACTAGACATTTTTACGTGTTTAGTTAACATTAGCAGTTTTCATCCTCTTCCTCCTATGCTGGTGCACACAGCAGTATTAGATGGCAGACGCTGTACTCACGTGGCATGATGCCCTGATCAACGAGCTGCTCGCGGGTGCGTCTCTGCTGTAGCCTCAGCTGGAGAACTGGTGGAGAGAAGCAGAAGCAGCGTTATGTTCTTGACCCAACCTCTAGATCAGACTTGTCAACATTACACACAGAATGGAACTTTTCCACCTGATTAACACACCTACACATTAGGGGTGGGAATTACCAGAGGCCTCACGATACGATATTATCACGATACTTGTGTCACGATACAATATTATTGCGATTTTAAATATATTGCGATATTCTGCGATACATTGCAATTTATTACCTTTTTCCAACTTCAAATTATGTCCCCAAAGGAAAACTTGACAACATCTGTTTCAACTAAAAAGAAACATTTCTCAGTTTGTTTATCTCACTTCAGTTTTATTGTTGCAGTTCAAAATGGGATTGTCAAGCAGACAAACTGACCAACACTTTCATGAAAACCTGTCATAAACTATTTGTATTACAGTCTAATCTAGTCCACCTTAATTAAATGTAAACAGGTATGCACTGCTGTGCTACTACAGGTATTTTGAACAGTGCAACTTGAAATTGTACTAAAAAGTTGTGCAGACCCTTCAGCAATTGGGGCATTTGAAAGTTAAATTTAAATTACTGTTAAATTTAAATTAAATTAAACAAAACATGTAGTCTTACATCTAGGGATGCACCGAAATGAAAATTCTGGGCCGAAACGGAAACCGAAAATTCTGGATGCACTTGGCCGAAAACCGAAACCGAAAATGCTTTGTAATGATTATTTATT